TTCAAATAATTACACGTAAATATAATTATTATATATATATATATATATATGTAATTATTTGAATATCTGACAAACGTTTTATTTACATCATTAAACATTTTAATTAAAGCAATTTAATCTCTAGTTACTTATTACTCAAAAATAATGAAAGTACTGTGGAATAATCGCTGTTCTTTTAATTTCTATTCTATCTGAGCGAGAGAAAGTGCGATAGCTCCGCTCTATATATAGAATATAGAATTGCTAACAGCACTACAGAGCGATACAATGTTTACAATAGATAAACTTTAACGCAATACGTAATATTCCATCGATTGTTCCAAAATCGTGCGATCATATTGCGACAGCTTATTCTGCAAACTTGCTAACAACGCGGTGATTCACCTTTTTTATATCGTAACAGCGTGTGCGTTTATCGAAAAAGAATGTACGTTTTCCTTAAGGGACTCGCAACGCAAAAAGACTCGAATCGAAAAGACTCACTGATTAAAATTCCGCTCATATCGAAAACGAACCATCCTACCCTGAAGGCAGCGCTGGAAATGGGATTTCTGAACCATGGGTACGGCAAATCACGCCTCACTAACTCTTACGCGGCTTGCGTAAACCACACTGCACGCGCACCAACACACATAGGCGGGTCCGTTTCATGTCGCTTTACTGCGGAGGAACACGGGATATCCATCAGCACGGGAAAAGAACCGGACGAAGGAAACTCCCTTTAACCTTTGGGACTAAACCGTTCTTCTTTTGTCGCCGCCAGAACACCTGGGCGATAGACCACCCCGTATGTTTCATCAGCGCACGATGAAATTCATGACATTTTGCGTAGGCACACGTATCCCCCCTCCCCCCCACCTCTTCTTTTCCTTTATCCTTTTTTTTATTTCAGATCGTGCCCCAATACGAGCGGAGCAGCTCTTTCCGCGTACCTGAACCCGCGGCGGTCTATCCTCTCGCGTCAGTCAGGATTGTAGCATCGTCCACGCAAACAGGTTTCTCTCTCGGCGGCGTTTGTCTTTTGATCGCGCGAACCGCCGCTCCCCGTGGTGGCCCCCGAGGACGCGGGCAAGCGGATCCGCTCGTGACGATTCGACCCACTGACGACGGAGCCGCACTGCCACGGTGTTTATGACACTGCGCGGATGATGACACGCGAGAGTACTCACCGGGAGGAAGTTCTTTCTCTCTCTCTCTC